GTTGTGGCCGCTTCTCTTCCTTGTGGAGCTTCTCCTGTCTTCTGGTTAAAGCCTGTTCCACCATCACTTTGGAGTAACCTCAGCTTTTTGTGCATCATACTCAAAGGTTTTTTGCTGAAATCGCCAATCTCAAGAGAGAAAGTCAAACGCATATTGGAACGCGCCAGCCAAGCACTGATAATGTTTTAAATTAATTATCACCGTTGGAAGAGGTATACTCTGATGCAGGATGCCACAAAACGATTTGAATAAATAAGAAGACAAACCTTGAAAGAAGATCATGGACCAAAGTTCCCGCCCGCTCACGGACATAGAGGAATCCTCGTTGAGAAAATGTCTAAACTTCGTCATTGTACCAACATCTGTGCCCACTTTGGAAATAATATCTGCAGTGGAATTCACCAGTTCCCTTATTGATCAGATCGAGGCAGAATAATTCAAATGGAAAATCAGAGAACAGCTATATCGAGAACCAGTTCGAACATCTAACATCAGCAATGAAGAACGAAGAGTTCTGAACGGGCTACGTAGAGACAACACCATCAAGATCTTACCTGCAGATAAGAGAAACGCTACTGTAGTGATGGATACTGATCTGTGCGAACAAAAGATCGCAGAGGTGCTTCAGAAAGGAAAACACACGAAGGTCATAAGGGACCCTACTGCATCAATTGAAAAGAAGTTGTTCCAGTCTTTGAAAAACACCAAGTATATTTTTCGGAAAAAGCGAGATCATAGCTAACACCGCACCACAGTAAGCCCCCTCACTTACTTGTATGGACTACCCAAAATCCATAAGAAGGATGTTCCGCTCAGACCGATCATTAGCTCCAGAGATTCAGCCACTCAGAACTTGTCCAGATTTTTACTAACAATAATTAAATCACCATAAAGAAAAACATCATCATTTGTGAAAAATTCAAGGCATTTTGTTGAACTACTAGGGGCAATCGAAGTCAAAAAGCAGGATCAACTGATCAATTTCGACGTGGAAAACCAACACCACACGTTCCTGTCGAAGAAGCACTTCAAATCATACAGAAGAAGTTTTCCGAAGGTGAGGACCTGAAAGGTAGAACAAACTTACCGATATAAAATAATCATGGAATTACTGGAATGCTGTGTACGAAACTGCTACTTCCAACTGAAGAACGAATTCTTTACGCAAGATGAGGGACTGCCAATGGGATCGCCACTTCCACCGGTTATAGCCAATATATGGCCATTGAAAAAGCCCACAAGACGCCTCAAGTCTGATTGAGATACGTGGACGACACCTTCATAATATGGAATCATGATAATGCAGAACTAGACGCTTTCCTGAAGCACATCAACAACGTAAGTCCTTCCATCACTTTCACAATGGAGAAGGAAGTCCACAACGAATTGCCATTCTTAGACGAATTGGTGATGAAGACCGACACTAAATGAGAAACATCTGTATATCGAAAACACACTCACACGGGAGAGTATCTGAACCAGGAATCCAACCACCTTCAATTGACTAAGAGAGGAATCATCAAGACTACTAGACCGTGCTGTAATACAAAGGAAGGTCTCGAAAACGAAGTAGGCGTCATCAGAAATAACCTCCAACAGAATGGTTACTTCAAAAGGATGATGGGACTGGTGGAACTGCTCTATAAGGAAGAGAAGCGGCCACAACCAGTACTTGTACTTCTAGGCTACATCAGAGGATTGTCGGAAAGGATAATTGGGTCCAAGTATAATATCAGAACCTTCTTCAGATCTGGGAACACTATCCGTAGCAGCCTCACGAAAACCAGGCCATCAAACGCAGGCTGCGATTCCAAGAATTGCATTTACCGGATACCCTGCGAATGCGGCGAATCATACATCGGTGAAACTGAGAGGCCGCATATATGTTCTCCAACAACGCATTTAGCTAAGCTACCTTAGAGATACGTAACATATGAAAACCTCTAATCCAGTGGAACACAACCAACTCCCGCCAAACGTTCAGCTCTCGCTAAAACCGATGAAGCGAAGAAAGGGAAGATTCAGACAATGGAAGTCCGAACTAATGAAATGCATCACGAAACATTGTCAACCACCTTCAAACAAACGTATATCTAACAGTATATATTTCCACTTTCCGTCATGCAGCAAAAATTTCTAGGGTGAATAATGATTTGTTTGTGATAGGACTACTACCTACTCTTAATATTTTTTTCTCCCGGAGGATCCAGTCCTCTCTATTTGGAAACAGTACTGCATAAGGCATTTCGTTGTTGACAGTTGGTGGCATAATGTCAGAGTTCATTTCCAGAATGCTGTGACTTCCAGTGTCAATCAGCAGTCTATTGTACCTTGCATTAGAATAATTTGTGGAATTGGCGATGTGCACAAGTCTATATGCAGTCCATCTAGCCTCTCTCTACAGGAAAATGGGGAGAGGAGGTCACGCATCAATGATTTCTAGAGCGAATAATGAGCGAGAATAAGAATCATGTCACATTTTGCTATTTCCAGATTTTCGAAGCTTCAGAAAGTCTAGTATGAGCGACACTCATAATACTAGACACACGAAGAATGCACCCGACGGCAAATATCTATTAATTGAAAATTTATTTCAAATAAACTTTATCAATAAAATTTTGATATAAGTAATCAGTACTTTGAATTATAGACAATCCTTTGCAACTTTTCCATACATGACAAACTCTACTCAGTGATTTAAGGTGCGGGCCTTTCCATTGTGTCGGGATCCATGATAGCAGGATTTTGAGGCCCTGTGCTGTCTACAATTGAAATTTTTCAAAATTATCTAATTCAACCTGAGTGCCTTTCCTCATTTCGTTTTTACAAACCAAGTTTCGGAAACTACTGACGAAAGAGATTCGTCCTCTATCTTTCCCTGTAGTCCCTTCTTCAAAGTGAATGATCGAAACCAGAGCGAAATATTCGTTATTTTACACCAGACAGCTCTGTTTCGACCAGCCATAGGTCTACGCTACGGCTGAATCACTACGCTGGACTCGACTGTTTTTCGTTTGGTTCCTTATAGCTTGCAAAACAACTATGTGAACTATTTCACAATCTGGGTGGAGATAAATCACAATCTAATGTTTTTACACAATCGAATTTTAAGGAAATGAATATTTTGAAATAAATTTCGATATATTACCTCTCCCAACTACCTACACAGTAGGGTGTGGTAAACGTCTGTCGAAAAACAACTACTTCCCACGTTGGATATTGAATTATATCTGACAGACATTTATGCAAGATTTCTCACAGAGGCTAGTCTCGCAGATGTTTCTCGATCATCCAGCAGCAGGACCATGCTGAATTTATTCAAGTAGATCACCTGCAGACTGCGGTTTCGAGGTATTACTTTTCGTCAGTAAAGAAAAAATGCTACCCAGACAGCAAATTGTCTGGGACTCGATTAATTTCAACACGGCTCCGCTATATATATGAAACCTTCGTCTGAGAGGACGATGGTTAACTAGTAACAATTCCATCTCGTGAACAAAGCCCCAAACGGGGAAGAAACATCCCATATATCAAAACTCTAACAGAAATCAAAAATGAAAACTATCGAGGAGAGATACACACGTATATTGAAATTAGATTTTTGAAATCAATGAAGATAGTTCAAAAATGAGTTTTTATGTAAACCACGTGTCGCCCCTTTGTGAAAGGCAACCCAACCCATAGAAGTTGAAAGTAGTGTGGGGTCTTGCCTTTCACCAAATAATTCCTAGCACTGATATATACACTTCTTATCGAAAAAAATAGAGGTTTCTTCACTCATACTTTTCTTCAATAAAAATGTTCATTTCGATGTAATATAAGGGAAGTGTTATCGGTTCGTATATCTTCAAATATCGGTCCCCTCATATTTTCTATGGGAAATGGCAAGGTATATTTGGGAATCTGTTCAAATTCTGTTTTTTTGTTATCCAGCTGACATCCCCTTACGGAGGACGACCCTCTGAAGTGGAAACTTTTGCGCAAGCTAAGGATCAAAGATGTCTCACTTTTCAACGTGCGATTTCTAGCACGAGTTGGACGATACGCAGTGGAAATTAACTTCGTTTGGTCGATTCGACCAAGCGATAGACCGGTTTCGGGGTGATTGCCCCATCATCAGAACAGGGCATAGTGACATGCTGATACAATATAATATGTATATATAAAATCGAGAAAGGATAATGCAGTCAAGCTGTTGGAAAATAATTCCATGAAAATCAAAAGCTGTATACCGGTGGCTCTAGATGGCTTCTAGATGTAATATAATCCAAATTACAATTGTTATAAATCACATTTGACTTTTTTGTAGTATCCGTTTCATCTTTCAATTTGGCATTGCTGCCAGTATTGAAAATTATTTGAGAAGTGTTCTGGGATAGGAATTTTCGATCAATATGTCTCTAAGAAGTCTGAGATTTTTTTGCTTGAGAGAAGGGTGTACTAATTTTTCTATTTTTTTTTCAAACACAAAATTGAATTGATTTTAACTGATTTTTTATGAAATGAATAGTTATTGATATATCTTTCTAAATTAGTAGGTTTGATATACCAATCAGTTATCAAGGAATTATCAGTTTTACGAATAACTCTTGCATTTTTCCTATTATAGCTCAATACGTAATGGACGATCTTTTTGAAAACACACTTCCCAAACTAAGTTTTGAAATTCCTTTTTTAAAGAAATACGTTGACGATGTCATTTGTGCAATACCTTATGACAAATCTCTTGAAATTCTTGATGTTGTCAATGTATATGATAAAAAAAATTGCAATTCACTATCGAAATAGAAAATAATCAGACCCTTCCTTTTCTTGATACAAGATTGATTTAGTTTCAAGTTATTGTATTCAAACAAGTTTTATGACCAAACCAAAACAACCACACAAAATATTTGTTTCGATGGATCAATCAATATAAAATTTGCTCTGCTTAATACATTACATTACATTCTTTGTCGAAGGACATTAGAAATTTTTCCTTTTTTTCAGGTTAGTGAAAATTATGCAGAACACATTTTCCACTGCCATCTTCATACAAATTATAGTTAGTGTAGTGGCTATTTGCTTCACAGGTTTTGTAATGCTAGATGTATGAAAAAAAATCATCAGTTGAAAATTTTATTGGGCTGAAATTATTTTTTAGGTTTCTCTTGGAAGCCCTCAGTTTATGAGTTCATTCGTCTATATGAACGCCATGTTCATACAAATTTTACTATACTGTTTTTTCGGGCATAGTATTATGACTAATGTGAGTTGTACTCATGGGATTTTGCATTGTGAAACTGGTCCATTTTCGATACTTTCAGAGCGAAGACGTCAATTTGGCCATGTACATGTCTAACTGGTATATTTCTGAAAAAAGTGTCCGCAAAACATTTATCATTTTGATGGAAAGATGTAAAGCGCCCATAATTTTCACAGCAGCCAAAATTTTCCCCGTGAATTTGGTGACACTCAGTTGGGTGAGTAATTAGATTTTGAATTTTCTTTATGTTTGAATTCATATATGCATATATGAAGTGGATTATCTTAGCGAGTGGAGACATGTACAGGAAAATGGATTAAAAGGGTCTCTCAGTCAAAAAATAAAAATAGAAACTCTGCTTTACTTTGCCAAGCTTTCACTTGTAATAGGAAGCTTTTACAGGGCAGTAAAATGGGTACAAAACAGTGAATTAAACAATTTTTTTAAATAGATCACCCTATTTTCCTTTGCATTATCAGATGCTCCATGATGAGCAAATTTCAACAGAGTATAAAACATGAAGCTTATGGTTCGGGAGCTACAAATTATTTGAGCTGAAAACCAGCCACTCTAAATAACTTTTGAAATAAAAAAAAGAAATAGGTCAATAATTATACAGGAGGTCACATTTTGAAATATTCATTCTAGAGACGAATATGGAAGCAATAAATCAGAAAAAGAAGATTTTTTATTAATTCTTGAATCAAAATCTGATGATTGAATAATTAAATCTTCAAAAACGTTTCCACCAACTTCCATACAATAGTACAAACGAGCTTCTATTGCCGCTCTCACATGGTTGAGAATGTCGGGAGTTATTTCTCTGCAATGCCTCATGACATTCTCTCTCAAATCTTCTAATGTTGTTGATTCTATCTCATACACTTTAGATTTCGAATGACCCCATTGAAAGAAATCTACAGGAGTGTGATCCGGAGACCTTGGTGGCAATTCTCTAGAACCTCTTCTGCCAATCCAGCGACCAGGAAAATGATCATCCAAAAATTGTCGCACTGAACGTACATTCATCCGAAAAATAAATTTTATAAAAGAAATTCTGATGCAAGTTGATCCGTTCAGTGAGACTTTCACAAAACTCGATACGTCTATCGAAATCATCTTTGTTCAATTCATGATCTAGTCTTATCTTGGATAAAATTTGTACCTACTTATGAAGGATCCTGAAAACATTTGTACGACTGATTCCTGTTTCATGAAATAACTTAGTAAGAGATTGCGAATTTTTCATTAATCCAACGTGCCCTAAAACTGCAGTACAAATAGCTTCATCGTTGACAACTCCTGAACAGTTATGCTTTTTATTGTTAACAGATCCAGTTTCCATAATGCATCTCGTATGAAATAACATAATTGATAAACTCTGTATATGTGTATAGTTAATTTATTGAACATTTACACTGAGTGTTTTTCAGATTATGCGGTCATCCTATTCATTTTTAGCAGTCTTGCGGACTATGTACGATCGTGACAATAAGAATTGAATCAGTATGAGATAAATAGGATCGAGATACACTTCATTTTCAGGTTATTTAGTTGTTTTCTGTTAAGAATTTCCGATATTTGAGAAGTTGTAGTAAACTTATCTGTTCAAAAAGCAATTAATATAGATGTGTCAACACGTTCGCAGACAAAAATACTGCATATATATTGCACAATTCTTGTTGTAAATGACCGATATCTATGTTTAAGATAATACACCAATTGAAATGAAGGTTATACACAAATTGTAGAGCAATGCACTGAATCTATACTAAAAATAAATTGAATTGGTGAAATCAACACATTTTCATTTCTTCATTGAGTTTTTTGTGATTCTTCCATCGTGTACATTTCTAAGAACAAACAAAAAACAAACAAACAAAATTTATTCCATATTATTTTTGGTACAATATCTACTATAAAAAAAATAAATCGTAAAGACAAAGGAAACATAGAACATACAATGAATGCTTGTATCGTAATGTTCTATTCTCTATTTGGGTATCTTAATTTATTTTTTTATACAGTGCGAGTTTCGAAAAATAATAATGATAATATTGGTAATATTGAGTAGATGAATTTGAAATTTATCATAAGAATTATTTTATATTAGTTAGGTTGGTTAGGATAATGGGAAAGAGAAAATAAGAAAGAATAAGTAATGAGTAATAGAGGAGTGTGTATCAATTGAAAATTGAATTGAGTGTATTGCTTTCGAGAATGAAACTTTTAATGTTTTGTTTGTAATTCGCCATTTTTATTATATGCTTAACTTTTAGAGGTAACATATTGTATAGTTTATGTCCGAAATAGAATATAAATCTTTGTGTATGACTCTTTCTGAATTTGGGTATTCTGATAGATAGATCCTCAACAGATCTTGTATATTTTTCAGCAAAATTTTTTTCGTAGTTCTGTTTGTTTTTGAATACCCACTGAAGGCATTGATAGGTATATAGACCCCTGACATTCAAGATCTCGGAATCTTTATATAGCTGATGTGTTGAGAATAACCTAGGTTTTTCAATATAATTTTCATTAAAGTGTTCTGTGTTGTTTGAAGTCGTTTTATTGTTTTATTATACATTTCACCCCAAGCATTTATACAATATCTCAGGACAGATTCCGCTAGAGATAGGTTCTGTCTTTCCTGGAAAGACTAACTGGACGGAAGTACCAACACAATACGACTGGCAATCTGCTAGTGCAATAATTGACGAGGACAAGATAAAATAGGCCATATCGGGATTTTTCCCCTTCAAGTCACCAGGATCTGACGGTATACGACAAGCCATACTTCAGTGGGGACTGGATATTCTTATGCCGCACCTGATTGGAATATTCAGAGCCTCTCTATCTCTAAGGTACATTCCAAGTAAGTGGAGAGAAGTACGAGTAGTATTCATACCCAAATCGGCCCTTCACCATGTGGTTGGCAGAATCGAGAGATCATTGGACAACAAAGAATCCACCCTGGGTATATTCATAGATATCGAGGTCATTGGGGATGTCCACAGGGAGAAGTCTTATCACCCCTTCTCTGGAGTGGATACCTTGATTATTCACCTTAACAATAATGGATTCTACACAACTGCATATGCAGATGACATTGTTATCTTGCAGACCGGCAAATTTGTGAACACACTGTGCGATAGAGCGCAGGATGGGCTCAAATTAATAGAAACATGGTGTAAGGAACACTCACTGTCGATCAATCCCAAGATGACTGAGATGGTCCTTTTCGTCAGGAAAAGAAGTTTATCGGGCTCAAACCTCTCGAAATCTTCGAAAGCAAATTGAACTTCTCTGGAGAAGTGAAATACCTTGGTACTACCCTTTACAGAAAGCTAACATGGAACCATCACCTACAGTGTAGAGCAAAATGAGCATATGTGGCTTATGAGCAATGTCGGAGGACAGTGAGACGCGCATGGAGTCTTTCACCCCGTGTGGTCATCTGGACCTACACTGCAATAATAAGACCTACTTTAACGTACGGAGCCATTGCTTGGGGACCAAAAGTTCTACAAGCAACGGCCATTAAAAATTATATCAAATACAGCAACTGGCTTGGTTAAACATCACAGTAGCCATGAGAACACCAACCGCGGCAATGGAATTAATTACGGGTCTGAACGTTAAGGAGGTTACGATTGCGCACGGCTGGTGTAAACCTCGAAGTAGGAATGGATGATTGAAGCTGAGCCTATGGCGAGATTTGCTTACCGCTCAACCTCTGCTGCAGGCAACCAGTGATGCGATTCAACACAGGTTTGTGTTTAATAAACCCTACAAAACACAAATAAAACAGAATGCAGAGTCAGATGCTAGAAATGCAATACGCATATATACAGACGGCTCAAAACCAGAAAAGGCTCAGGATGTAGGGTGTACTCCAGGTCACTAAGCCTAAGGATTAAACGGGGAATGGGAAAAATACCAGCGTGGTCCAAATAGAACTGGCTGGTATCTCAATCGCCACAAAAAAAAATAACCAGGAAAGGAATTTCTGGCAAAAACATAACTGTACTGATAGCAGACAAGCTATATTAGCCTTCAACAGACGTGTTACTCCAGGTATACTACTAGAGTGCCACCAAGATTTAGCCAAAGACTCGGTAGATAATAACAGTATCCTGAGGTGGGTCAAAGGGCACGACAGGAGTAAATGTAGTCGCATTGCCGACTCTTTAGCCAAGGAAGCGGTTGAATTAAGAATTTCAGGACCCAGTGGCACCTACGGCCTGATGACTTCGACAATTGCGAAACTAGCCAAATGTTACACCTATGTTCAATCCCTAAAGAGATGGGATGGAATCAAAGGATGCAATCGTGTCAGCATAACCCCGGACGACCCAGGGAAGCTGGCCCGAAGAAATATCTGGCGATGATCCGGAAAAATCTACACTTAACAGTAGGATTTCTAACTGGCCACTGTTAACTAAGGAAACACCTCCATAATATGGGGCTAGTGGATGTGTGAACAGGACGATGGGACTGTCAAGCATGTCCTTATGCGAGTGCCCGGAATTATCGTCAATAAGAGGGTGTGTGTTCGACGAGTTTTGGCCTACACCTGCCAATATAAAGGAAATATCCCACAGTGACCTGTCTACCTTCCTGGAAAGGGCAGAATGAACGTTGACCTAGGAGGACGACTCTTCGGGAGGATGTACAATGGGTCACATGTGGCCTAAGTGCGTGGGCTTACAGTCACCCTTCCTACTCTACAGATACATATATAGAAGTATCACAATTTCTGAAAACACTCAATCCAGTTTATTCTAGTAAATAACCTAAATGTGTATCTTTTATTTCCTGAAAATAGTGAGGTTAGTTCACAAATTTATAGATAAAGAAACGTGCAATACGATTCATATATGTACAACCAAGCCTAGGGATTCTTGTCGGCCTCTTTTCGCCTCTAACAGAATCCTAACTATGGTCTTATTTATATAAGTAACGATTTTCCTTCTCTTTAAAAATAGGAACTTTTTAACAACTTGGACGAGCCAATGTATCAAACCAGGCAAAGATTCAGCTTCAAATTATTTAACAAACATCACCAGAAGAAGACAAACGAGACTGTGTCGAAACGTCGTGAGATCAATCCCAGTGAGGATAATCACACAAAACACGGATCAAAATCCGAAAATCAGTTCAGCATATTTCTATCCGTTAGAACCTTAGATTTAACATTTCAAACCTTTACGGAAAGAAGAGATCAATCAAGAAGAAGAGGAATTCAGGAGAAATCAACAATAATCCTTAGTAGGAAGCATATCACGTATGGACAGTCTACTTCCGAACACGTAACAAACATCACTTTATCTATATAGTATAGTGCGGATCGAGGTCGGTCGGTAGGTCGACATCCAAACACTTAACAAAAATCTTCAGAACATTGGTTAAGAAGAAAATTCAAAGAAGCCACATATATGTTGTTCAACAACGCATTCAGCCAAGCTAGCGTAGATATACGAAACATATGGAAACCTCTGATCAAGCGGAACACAACCAACCCCCGCCAAACGGTCAGCTTCCCCTAAAACAGATGAAGCGGAGAGAGGGAAGAGGGGATAGGTGAAAGCATTCAAATGACCTATAAATAGTCAGATCTCGGAGGAATAAGTCCAACTCCACTGAGTAATAGGCTCTAAGGCTGGTCGAAAACACTATCAAAGAGCTTAACTCCAACAAAAAAGTTCACATTGTGCTACTTGACATCTCGAAGGCATTCGACCGTGTTTGGCACGAAGGTCTTCTGCACAAATTAAACGCGTTCGACCTGCCTCGGGGCCTCGTCCGGTGGATCGGGTCTTTCCTGAAAGACAGGATATTTCAGGTTAGAGTAGAGGGATCTCTGTCTGATAACAGAGATATCCTTGCTGGAGTGCCACAGGGGGCCAAGCTCTCTCCGACGTTGTACTCACTTTACACCAGTGACCTTCCGAGGCCCGAGCGTGTGAAAATATCTCTGTACGCCGATGACACGGCTCTCCTCTCATCTTCCATGGGTCGGAAGCTCGGCGTCGTCTATATGCAACGTGCATTGGACGACCTCGAGCGCTGGTACCTTGATTGGAAGATCCGAGTGAACCCGGATAAGACTCAGGCAATAACCATGGGAAGACTGAAATCTTCTCCGGCCAGAAAAGCCAGGAAGGGAGATTGACTGGCAAGCGCGGGTAAAGTACCTCGGCCTTATAATAGACCGTAGGCTCACTTGAAACATATTACGAGCGTCAAATCAAAGATCGAGGGTCGGATAGCACGAGGTCTCAAAAACAAAATTACCATCTATAATACGATGTTCAAGCCTGTCATCATGTATGCTTCAGGCGTCTGGGGACAAGCGGCGAAATCTAATATCACCATTCGAGAGGTATTGCAAAACAAGCTAATAAAAATGATTGTGAATGTTCCTTGGTTCGTGCGGAATGAAGCCATCCTCAGAGATTTGCAGCTGTCTTCCATTCGGCAGTCCATTTAGTCAAGAAATCAGAGAGTTTTCGATGGTGCAGAAACTCATGAAAACCCATTAGTCAGGGAAGCTATGGATTATACTGTAGACGACCCCTTCCGATATAGAAGGCCCCGACACTCTGTCGAATGAGGCCCCTATATCTTCCGTTGGAAGATGAACAACTCTTCCATCCAACTCACCCCAGTCAGGCAGGGGTACACCGTGAAGGGCGGTACTGATGTCTGAGGACATTCATGCCGCCATACCATCAACACCCACCATCAGTCATGACCCGTTTGTCCTTCTGGCAAACATCAGTTCAAAGGGTAAG